TTTTAATACTTTATAAGTACTTTTGTGTGATTAATGTTTCTCACTAATAAATGGTTGTGAACATATGCTATTAGTTTTATTTTTTGGTTAAATAATTGAATATGTGCTATCTGTCTCTTCTTGACATTTGCATTTACTAATTATTTTTTTCTCACCGAAATGACTAGATTTTGTAATATTTCAATTTTCTATGCCATATATATATACAATAAGACCTCCCTCCTTTCAATATGATTCAATAACAACAGAATGTTTAAATGACTTTTCCAGATATACCCGTTGTGACAGTACAAGAAAATGTCTACTCTGTCAACATCGGAAGTAGCATCAATCTGGTGTGCAATGTACAAGCCAATCCTAGCCATACTTCCGTCACGTGGCAGAAAATTATAAATGGAGTAACAACGACGGTAACAATATCTGGGAGGTTTTCTGGTGCTACAGTAAACAGTCCAACTCTAACAATATCTAATGCAATTCTAGACGATGAAGGCTACTATGTATGTTTTGCAACGAATAGTGTTGGAACAGGTCAAAGTTCACAAACGTTTTTAGATGTCATTGGAAGTAAGTGGCCTGTGCAAAGAATTAAAAAATAGAAAACTGGAAACTATAATAAAAATAATTACAATTACTTCAAAAATTATATTGCGCATAAAAGTTTATCGTAATCATGTTTATCCCATTACTTTAATTCAAATATGATTATTAACCAGACAGACACATTTTAAATGTAAGCATGTTCATTGATAAAACATTTAAGGATGTTGTCTTAGTTAATATTAGTCAAATGATCTGATAATTGAATATTTTAGTCGCATAATAACAATTATAAGAATGTCATTAATTTTATTCACTTATGTCTTGTAAAAATGTATGTATGTACTGTAATTTGATTATCAAAAAGATCCAAAAAAAAGAAAAGATAATTGAATATTTAACCAACCTAAATTTTCATTAGCCAAACATGCTTGATCAATAGATCAAACAACTGATTACTACTCAACTAAAATCTTCTCATCCTACTCTGCCTGTGAAATAAAAGTCATGGTTATAAAACAATTATTCTGTAGGTATCCCTACTGTTACTATTGGATCCAACTACTACTCCGTAAACTACGGAAATACAGCAACCATTGTATGCAATGTTGTTGCTACACCAACAGAAACAAGTATTTCGTGGCAGAAAATACAAAATGGTATACCGTCAACAATAGTTATATCAGGGCGATACCAGGGTGGTACCGTATCTTCACCAAATTTGATTATCACTGGTGCGGAAAATACAGATGAGGCATTCTACATATGTTCTGCTTCTAACAATTTAGGAACTGGACAAAGTTCTCAGACATACCTCGATGTTCAAGGATGTAAGTATCAGAAAGTAGACAATATCCTTCATATCAATGTGGTGCATAGCAATATAAATAGCAATGCAATATATCATTAAACAATGTTCAACTTTACCACCTCATGCAGATTTAAACACAAAATGTACTGTTTACGTTCATCATCCTCTAGCAACTGATAACGTCTCATCATAGAAGACTATAATACAATTGCCTGACAAAGGTCAATGGCTTTGATTAAAGTAAATTTGAAAAATGGTAAATGTTATTCTTTTATCAACAATTTTACTCTTTATAGCTGTTCCCTTCGTATAGATCAAATGTCGTCTACAAAATCTTACCTTTTACAGCTGTTCCTTCCGTACAGATATTATCCAACTATTACTCAGTGGAAATTGGTCTTTCTGTCACGCTCCAGTGCACCGTGACAGCTAATCCATCTCATACAAGTGTGACATGGAATAAGATAGTAAATGGACAGCAAACTAATATAGGATCAAACATCAGATATTCAGGAGGAAGTACTAATACGCCTTCTCTGACCATTTCTAACGCAATTGACACAGACGAAGGGTATTACATATGTACCGCAGCAAATGCAGTGGGCACAGGTCAAAGTTCACAGACATATTTAGACGTTACAGGAAGTGAGTTTTTCATATTTGCTTCTTCTTCTTCCATCTGATGTGGTTTTTTTGGGGGGATTTTTTTTCTATAAGACAAACTATTGGGATCAAATTTTGGTTTTATACACGTATCTATAACTGATTTGCAAAATTGACGTTAAAGAAGATAAACCACGTTTATATGTTAGTTCACTAGTTGTGTGAACTTATCTTATCTTATTTTATCCCTGTTCAGGTATATTAACAGTCACTGTACCACAGTCATCATATAGTGTAAATTATGGGCAGTCAGTACAGTTGATATGTACTGTTTCTGGAACCCCTGTAGTACAAAATGTGTACTGGCAAAAGATCACAAATAGCATTCAAACAAATATCAACTCTAACACTAACTCGAACAAATATTCTGGATCAACAACAGGAACCCCATCTCTAACCATTCTGAATGCTGGCAGTAATGACATAGGATCCTACACATGTTACGCTACAAACTCTGTTGGAACTGGACAAAGTCAACAAACTCAGCTCTCTGTAGTTGGCAGTAAGTTTGTCTTAACCTTTTAATGATACGCAAATGTCGCCTACCTTTTTAAATTGTGTCAATGAACGTCTTAACATATGATGTGTAATCGCTTTAAACTCATTAATTTATAAAGCTTGTCATAAAAAGAATCAGTGGGACCTATTTTCATTTTATGTATACTAGTAAATAATTTAATTATTCAACAAGTTTATATATGGTTTATAGATCCGTAAAACCATGGCCAAAAACGAAAAGACGAACACAATTCTAAAAAAACTATGTAGAAACTCAATAATGCGCAACATAAATCCCACTATAAACCAGAGGTGATCTCATCTACCCCGGAATAGTTGGCCGATCCTGCTTCAAATGTGGCACCGGGCGAGTTGTTCTTGATAGGTAAACATCATTAGTTCAATCGGAAATTTAGAATGTGCATGTTAAATCTTTTGTAGATGTACCCTCAGTAACAGTCGGACAAGGCTATACTGTTGTTCTTGGAAATTCTATTACTTTGACATGTACTATACTTGCAACCCCGTCAGCCACCAGTGTTCAATGGAATAGAATAACAAATAATGTACCTGTTGCAATAAACGTAGCCAGCAACCCAAATAAATATTCAGGTGCTACTGTCAGTACCCCATCTTTGACAATTTCTAACTCTGTTGAGGGCGATGAAGGATACTATACCTGTCAAGCAACAAACTCCGTCGGAACAGGAACCAGTACCCAGACCTTCTTAAACGTACAAGGAAGTAAGTATATGTATTATTTCCACGCTATTTTACGGTACAAATGGTGTAGTTTGTATTACTAATTTAAAAGCAACAATAGATATTTGGAAATATTTCCTTTTGGAATTCGTTCATTTAAAAGCAAACACGTTTGATGATGATGATGATGATGATGATGATGATGATGAGAAGGAGGAGGAGTCTTTTTTATATGTTTTTTTATGCAAACAAAAGCCAAAAACAATTTATATCAAGGAAAGTACTAATTATACTGAGCCAAACCTTTCAGTTTGTTGATAGTAATCGGAAATCATACAATATCTCCTTATTCTTATATTGCATAAGGTCAATTCCGAATAACGTTCCGAATAACGTTCTGAAATAATTAACGAAATCACACTAATTCCGCTTGAAGGTTGCTATTTTAAATTCTACAATATTTGTCGAACTAGCTTTTCAAAGATAAATTATCAAAATCCACGCATCTATTTGGGAACGTTATGATGCATAGCACTTCTGACATTAAAGCATTTTAAAGGAGATCGGTATATATATCATTTTTCGTGATTAACCATGACCGAGACAGAAAACCACCGTATCCAGCAGTCACACAACAATTCGGTTTACATATTTAAAGAACGGGAAACGCTTTTACGTTACTTTCATTATTTATTCGATTCATTTATGTACTAGCAATATTTTCCTTTGTATATACCCCGCATTATAAAGCGGAGTGTATATTAAGTGATAGTGGAGATTGTGTTTTCGCTCGTCCGTCCGTCTTTCGTCTGTCGTTTCGTCATTTTTCTCACTTTTGTATCCGCAACTGCACTTGACAGAATATTGTAAGCTTTTACAATATCTTATTCATTCATGTATTCTTGAAGAACATTTTCAGGGGTTTGGCCTACCGCAGGATTAACATTGCCCTTTCCATCACTTTATTTTAAGAGAATATTAATCGTGTATTCCCAACTCTTATTAACTCCTAATTACAACTAATTGAAACTCCCTCTCGATCTCAACCATATATTGTTATTGTGCACCTCCTTTTTGATTCTTTATTTAAATCATTTTTGTTGTTTCGCGTACCAATGCACAGACTTTGCTATTGGTTGTTTTGTGAGTAACCAGATTGTATTCGCAAGTTCTCCTAACCCCCTTATTTCAATTTATTGTAACTTTCTCACAATTTTAACAATATTGCGCTATTGTGCATTTCCTTTTATTAATTTTTTGTCCGAAATCATGTTTAGGTTCTCTGTTATCAAAGAATGGACTTTCTTTTTGCTTTATTTAGAGGTTACTTATTTTGTATTTGCAACTTGGTCCAATTTTTATAAACCCATACTTACAGTTTATTGACATTTTCTCACATTCTTTATCATATAATGCTATGTTGCCCCTTTCACATGGTTTTTATCAGAATCTAGCTAAGAGTCATGACAAAGGGTTTTCCTTTGCAAATCCCGGACCTTGCAAAGGGCGTGGATATCATTTGTGAGCTTTGCTTGCAGTATCTGTAGTTTTTTGTTATTTTACTCGCTTATAATATTATATTTCTTTGATTTCATCAATGTATGATGACCTTTTTCTTAAAAACACGATACCTCATTATCATACGCAAAGCTTTCTCCTTCGAATTTGGTTTCATTATTCCTTTGACATTTTGATCTCGGTAAAGCGTTAACTTTGAAATCTTAAACATAAGTTATTCTCTACATGGTGACTTATTATTCACGTATTCATTTATCTACCCTTAAAGCAATACCAGTGGTTACCATTCCCCAATCGCAGTATAGTGTAAATGTTGGTTCATCCGTTACCATGGTTTGTACCATATCAGCCAATCCTGTTCATACATCAGCTTTTTGGCATAAAGTTGTGAATGGAGTAGCAACAAATATCAATCTTTCTCAGACGAGTAAATACTCAGGATCTACTACAACATCACCATCTTTGACTGTTCTTAATGCTGTCGTTGCTGATGAAGGATATTACACATGTAGTGCACAGAATAGTGTCGGCACAGGTACCAGTTCACAGACATTTCTGGGTGTATCGGGAAGTAAGTGAAGTTTATCCTTAATGAACAGAAAAATATGATGCCAATACTAGAAGAACATTTAAAATTAGAACATTGGTTTAGCATATCTGAAAACAATTTAGATTTATATTGTCATTATGAATGTTATATTAAAACTCATATATGTAGGGAAAAATGATTGACTTATACCAGTCAGAAATTAACACTGAACCATGCGAGCCCATGATTTATAAACATATATTCAATTACCTTTGTACTAAACTAAATTTGAAATAGGTACTAGTAACAACTATTAAAATACAGACGAGTAACCAGATAATAGATTTTTGTCAGTACGTCTAGCGTTTGTGCATTCGTTCCTTGTGCATCCAATGTTTGTCCTTTTGATCTGGGTACAATCGATGTTAATCTATTCGATCATGATATATCCATTGTTGGTCAATTTTATCCTGATATAACAATCGTTTGTCAATTCGATCCTAATACAACCAACGTTGTCCTTTTGGTCCTGATAAAACCAATGTTTGTTCTTTCGATACAAATAAAACCAAGGTTTGTTCTTTTGATCTTAATACAACTAACGTGTGTCTATTTGATTCCGATACAACCAACAGTTGTCGATTCGATCCTGATACAACCATCGGTTGCACATCCAATATTAATGAAAAAAAGTTTGTCCATTTGATTCTTATATAGACAACGTTTGTTAATGCAATGCAATTAAAGTTTGTCCTTTAAATCCTGACACAACCAACCTTTTCACATTCGACTCGGATACAACCAACCTTTTTTACCTTTCGAAACTGATACAATCAACGTTTTTTCATTCGATTCTGACATTACTAAGGTTTTTCCAATTCGATCACGATACAACAAACGTTTTTTTTTCGTCGATCCTGACCCAACCAACGTTTGTCCATTCGATTCGGACACAACCAATGTTTGTACATTCTTTTCTGATACAACCAACGTTTGTCCAATCAATTCTAATAAAATCAACGTTTGTACCTTCTTTTATGATACAACCAACAGACATAATCAATGTTTGTAAAATGTTTCTGATACAACCAACGTGTGTCATATCGATGCTGATACAATCAACGTGTGTACCTTTGTTTATAATACAACCAACGTTTGTTCAATCAATTCTGATACAACTAACGTTTGTCATTTTGATTCCGATACAACCAACTTTTGTCTTTGCAATCCTGAAAAACTTATGTTGGTCCATTCAAACTTTACACAAGTAATATTTGTCCCTTTTGATCTGTTTTAGGTGTTCCTGTAGTAACAGTACTATCAACCAGTTACTCTATCAATGTCGGAAATTCCATCACATTACAGTGTACTGTAAATGCCAATCCAACAGCTTCTAGTGTCACATGGCAGCGTAACATCAATAACGTAGCAACGAATATTGACATGTCCATCGGTCGTTACAGCGGAAGTTCTGTTGGGTCACCGTCTCTTGTCATAAGTAATACTGTCATATCAGACGAGGGGTTCTATATCTGTACAGCTACTAATAATGTTGGATCTGGACAAAGTCAACAAACGTTTTTAGATGTCATTGGAAGTAAGTGAAAGCATATGATAAATACGTCTTTTGTCTATAGTCTAGGATTATAAATCGTAATTCTATGTTGTGTGGACAATTCATTTATCTATCAGGTTTAGCTAGCTATAAAACCAGATTAAATCTACCATTTTCTACATTAAGAAATACCTGTACCAAGTGAGAAATATGACAGTGGTTTGATGTGTTTGAGCTTTTGTATTTGCAATTTCACAAAGGACTTTTCGTTTTGAATTTAAAAAGAACATGCATTTTTTTTAGGTATTCCGACTGTCACTGTACCACAATCTACATACGGCGTCAACAGAGGATCATCCGTTACACTACAATGTACCTATACTGCTAACCCAGCAGCTACCAGTGTTATTTGGGAAAGGACTGTAGCTAACCAGGTCACAACAATATCTACAGCCAGCAATAAATATGATGGTTCTACCACACAGTCACCATCTTTGTTAATAAATAACACTGATGAATCAGACGAGGCCAATTATGTTTGTAAAGTAACAAACAGTGTAGGAACTGGAATCAGCTCCTCTACATTCCTTGATGTTTTAGGCAGTAAGTACGATATTAAGTGACTATATACATGACAATACTGTTCACATTTAATAAGTTATAAAATATAAACATGTGATATCACCTATTTGCATGTGCCTAGACTGATTTCTATCTTGTCCATTTTAGACTCAAAGTTTAAAAAGCGACACACCTTAAATATCTTTGAGCTTAACCTAATCAAAATAAGTTAGCCAGATATCATTTCTGTCACTAAAACGGATAGAAAATTATATTTTTTGTTTGAGCAATGATATTTGTTGAATTTTAAAATAACATAAAAAGCATCACCGTATAGATAACAAAAAGTTGACTCTATGTATAAATAAAGGTGTTATACCGCTGTTCAATAGTCATAAATCGATTCAACGAAAACAAATCCGGCTAACAAACTAAAACCGAGGGAAACACATCAACTATAAAGGGGTCACAACGGAACAACAGAAACACTGAACTGCAACAAAAACTGATAGCTACTGACATATTCCTGACCTAGTCTATAAGTGATAAAATTAAATAAACTCGCTATAGAAACCAGTAGTATTAACATTTTGAACGCCAGTCGTGAGTTTAGTATACAAAAGACTCATCAGTGACGCTCAAATAAAAATTAAGTTGGACCCAAAAATTCCGAAAGGATTTGCCAAATACGAATGCTCTAAATTAAACATTTCCTATTAAAACAATTTTACAAAAAGGTACATTTAAAAAAGAATAGCCAAATTTATTTAAGGTAAACTCTCCCTAAGAGAGTTAACCTAACCAAATTTTCTCAACAATTTCTTAATTCATCAATGGGAAATTTCTAAATGCATGTATGTTATAAATCATGTCAGTACTGAATCACTGACTACTAAGCAGATGATACCCTTGAGAACTAATAGTACACCAGCAGTAGTATTGGTATTTCTTTAGTTAGAGACTTTATAAGTTTCGTGCATCCAAAGTTTTTTATTAATTGACCTTAATCAATAACGGTCCAATTTAAGTATTTAACAGACTGAATGTATAAATACGCATAGCCTTTAGAAGCTATTTGACTAAAAGGGAATAGAAAGCATTAAGATAGCAAAATACAAAAGCAACTAAATTTTATCAAAATTTCATTTTCAGTTGTTTTTGTTACTTCTTAATATTCCAAAACCACAGAAGAAAAATATATGTCCATATCTTGCACTGTTAATGAGTTTTAATGATAGTTAGTTTTATAAACAAATGCACGTGTCTGACTGATACAAGATAAGAACATGTGGGCAGTACTTTGTGGTTAATCAATAGAATCATTTGATAGCTTTATGACCACTGACCAGCAATAAAATGACAGTTATGAAAAAGAGTTGGATTAGGGATTTATGGAAAAAAGAAGATGATGAATTCCAAATAAAAATACATTTCTATAATGGAGCTACCACGAGAAAAACCAAAACAACTATTTGTAGATGTAGAGAGAATCAAAATATGAATGTACAGATGTTAAACAAATATAATTGTACAACAATTAATTTTTTGATTGTAATGCTGATGGTTATATTAGAATTTCTTAAAGAAAATGTTTAAATAAGAATTATTGTTGAAAGAAAACACAACTTAAATATTTCATTTTCAAACAACAAAAATGAGAAAATATAACTATGTGAAAAACACCATATGGTCATTGTATACTATTATAATTCAAGAAATCCCCCATAAGAATCCTCTAGACTAACCAACTGATCATTTTGTGTACACATGCAAAACTTACTTTTTGTGAAAATGTTAAAAACAAAATATATTGTTTTGTGTACTAAATGAATAAAATCCATATAAAAAATTAATACAATGTGTAATTAAACTTCTGGGATCCTTCATAGTTGATGTGTATCCAGAAGGGCGGAGTTTTGACCATATCAGTAGCAACTGACTTACAGCAAGGTCAATAATGATATAACTTCTCCCGCCAGATCTGATTTTTGATGCATAGGGTGTGCATTTTCTTTATATATCTGGAATTGCTGAAATAGAATGTTTTCTTACTGGTCAAAACCTAATTGATTTATGATTAAAGTCCAATCCTGAAGTATCCCCAAGATACATGTGTGAATTATATTGAAGTTAATGAGGTACAAGTAGGAAAATCCTTATTTATTCAATTGTGACACATTCATTTGTGTCATGAAAATGTAGTTTTAAATGAAATTAGCACCTAGATGGGTGCCCCTTTATGCCTGATTTTAACACATGTTGTTCCTTGACCAGTTATCTCCAAACCTGTGTTTCAGATTTACATTAACATCAATAGAACAAATTTTATACCCAATTAAATTGAGTGATTTCTTATGAATTGAGGTTGCACACTTCATTGAAGGTTTATGAGAGAATGAAATACAATAGGAAAAATCTGAGACACCGTTTTGGAGGTCAAACTGTGTTGCACAAATATCTATCAAAATTTTTGGGATGCTATTAATAACGAAGAAGCTAATTTTATTCAAGTGTGGACATCACAATATAGCAACTAATTACATAATAAGGAATTATGTAATAATCATGTAATAATGAAATTAACACCATTTAAAAGATTAATCTTTCTTCTTTCTTTTGGTTCCTCATTTATAAATTTTAAAGCTGGATGAAAGAAATTACAACAGCTTAAAGTTTGTTGATTGGGGGGTGACAAAATCTTTGTATTGTTCTACCTTAAAACCATCTATGGTAAACTTTGCCCGAGGGAGGAAGACTCTTGGTTTATCAATAAAGGTATAAGAATTAAGCATAATTGGAATTGATCAACATTTAAAATTTGTTTGTATTCTTCAGACGTTCCAGCTGTGACAACGCCTACAGCAGCATATACCGTAAATGTTGGTGATTCCGTTACCATAACATGTACAGTAACAGCTAATCCACAACACACCACCGTTTACTGGCAGTATATAGCAGGTGGTTCATCAACAAATGTTAACATTGGAGGAAGGTTCAGTGGATCGTCCGTCAGCTCACCATCCCTGATAATATTTAATGCACAGTTATCAGACCAGGGATCATATGTTTGCTATGCTACCAACAGTGTGGGAACGGGGCAGAGTTCACAGGTTGTTCTGGCTGTAACTGGCAGTAAGTGTATATAAATATATGTTTAAATTTTAATAAAAAGCGATCGATTCTATTTCTATTGTTTTAAGCATTACATAGTAATTCAAAATCATCTATTTTGATGTATTTTCTTTAAGGTATTCCTAGTGTAAGTCTTACGCAGACATCCTTTACTGGTAACTATGGAGATACATTTACACTTGGTTGTACTGTATCTGCTAATCCCGCTGTTACCTCTGTTTACTGGCAGAAAGTTACCGGAAGTACAACTGCCACTGTAGACATGTCTAACTCAAGATATACTGGATCATCAGTCAGTACACCATCTCTAACTATAACTAATCTCAATAGTAATGATGCTGGGAATTATATATGTCTCGCCGTTAATTCTGTTGGAACTGGCCAGAGTTTGCAAGGACCTTTAACTGTAATTGGAAGTAAGTTTATATTCGAAAAAGAAAACATTATTTTGGTTTTTGTTTTCAATATTACCATTAGATATGAAACTAAACAAAATAATTCAAAATCAAATCAGAATATGAGTATTACAAAGATAAAGTATTAGTTGTTTCATATGATACGAGGAAAAATATTTTTTTTCCAATGTGCTTGACAACATGTTAAACGTATTATGCATGAACATTATTTATTACATGTTCCAAAAAGGCGAAGTGTTTTAATTGCCAACAATACAAATATATCATCATTTCAGCATATATAATCAGTTACTGCCTCCTTTTACAATTTCAATATACATTGTGCAGCCCTTTATTCTCTCAATCTATTTTATTTTAGACGTTCCTATAGTAACAGTTAGTCAATCAACTTACTCGACAAACATTGGAAATACCATCACACTAGATTGTGTAGTGTCGGCAAACCCTGCTCACACTGCTGTTTACTGGACACGACAGATTACCAATGGCAACACAGTAACTCTAAACCCTGCTTCCTCTGCAAAATATTCCGGATCAACTACACAGTCACCGTCACTGACTATCAGTAATGTAGACACATCTGATGAAGGCAATTATATATGTCATGCAACTAATGCTGTTGGCACAGGTCAAAGCTCACAGACGTTCTTAGATGTTATCGGAAGTAAGTATACAAAGGTATTGATATGGCTGCAGCATCAACTAAGATCAAAGAAGTTAAGTCCAAGTGCACGGTTAAATGAGGAATATGACTAATGCATCTTCTTTTGCTTATTTTGTAAGACCTTACAATGATATTCAGTTGAAATAAAACCAACTATTAGCAACAAGAATGCTTCTGTATATAGATCATTCATAACAGGTTTATCATTTTTTTTTAAACAATGTAACATAGATATAGATGAGCACGATTTCAACCGCATAAGTTTTTTTAGATTATTAATTTTGATAAGCTGTTGATCTAAATGCAATTTTAAGAAATAATGTTTATTTGATTAGAAAGTATAAATATATAATATGTTCTTACAAATAGATATCCCAACTGTTACGGCGTCAATCATCTCCTCTGCCAAAGTTGCAAATCCTGTGACAATTACCTGTACAGTAACAGCAACCCCAGCAGCTACTCAGATAGTCTGGCAGCGATATGTAAGTAATGCCGCCACAACTATGGATATAAGTAGTATCAGATACAGCGGAGGAACGACATCTAACCCGTCTCTCATTATCAACAGTGTACAAGAAGGCGATCAAGGACTGTATTTTTGTCAAGCTTCAAACAGCGTGGGAACAGGAACTAGTAATAATGTCTACCTGACTGTTACTGGAGGTAAATGTTATCATCTTATTTTGATCATTTCAATAGCACTTCTGTATTTCGAGAAAACACTATCACATAACAGAATATTCGAATATAACAGCCCGTGCCATGTAAAAATGACAACAAATATATGGATTACAGGACTTGTTTCGATTCTAGTAGACCAAATACGGTAATTTTTGAAAAGTGAAGCAAAGATAAATGTGTCGTGTGTGTGGCTGTCCTTTTTAAGCCCCGCTTAGATAAAGCAAACAAATTCCAATATATCAATGGCTTGCATGAATTTGTGCTAGATAATTACTTGAAAAACCTTGTGTTATCCTCATAATTCTCAACTGAATTGTTTTCTTGCGTTTGCTACTATTTACCGGTAAATACATAGTTGGTATGTCGTAACTAAGGAGTGAGTCTTCTTGTTGACTTGCTGAAATCCATAATATTGTGAAAAATTCAATAAAAGAGGGTCTGGATGGGGAGTCCTTCAATTCTGCATTCTTTGATTATTATAGTCATTTTCTCTATTTTTTATACATTTATTATGGTATTATCTATTCTTTATATTTTAGCACCTCATAATTCTCTTTTCTTTATTTGTTTTGTCAATTTTTTTATTCTGTATATTGTATGCCCTTTATTTTGCACCGTTTGTGCATTATTCTCTATTCTGAAAACCCCATCCAGACCCGTATGAAATAGAAAATAAAACAACACATACCTAAAAACTCCATTTTAATGCAATATAATTAGACTTTGGAGCGTAAAGGTATCGGATTAACCTTCTCCTTAGGCGTTTTCATTTGTATGACGTCATGTTTCATTGAATTTCGCGGAATTGTTTTTTTTTTTTTTTTTTTTTTTATAATTTTGTACATTTTTCAAGATCTTATACTTTAATTCTTTTGTTATCCATAAGAATAAGAATAACACATCTGTATGGTTTTTTTTTCAATTTCAAATTCAAGACAGCTAAATCGACATAGTGTTTGCACATAAGTTATGATACATGTGGATTTACGTTGGAGGTAAATTGTAAAATCTATTATTAAGTACATCTTTGAGTCTGCGCTAAGTATAGATATATATAGAATTTTATCACGCTGTTGTTTACAAAGCCAAAGAAGCACGTCATCTTAGAATGAGTAATGTTTACTAGCTGATAAATACAGTTTTAAATTTGTAAAATGTATGTTTGTTAGATGCACCTACATCCATTGCTATTAGACCCAGTCCAATAACTGTAAATGAAGGCCAGACTATAACAGCTACATGTACAGCCCAAGGCAGTCCAACGATAACATACACCTGGTTTAAAGGCAATTCCAATACACAGTTGTCCACAGGTTCTGTCCTTCAGATAACATCCTCAACACGAACTGATGCTGGAACGTACCAATGTAGGGCTTCGAACACCTATGGTAATGCTGACGCAACAGTTACAGTAGAGGTTCAGTGTAAGTATCTTTAGATTATTGATTAAAGACAATGCATTTTCAATTATTAAACGATCATCCATGTTTTAATGCTTTGTGTCGATCTGATGAGTAAAGCCCTTTACAGTTTGATTGTTATAGTTTGTTCTTATGTTAAACTGTCAACCACTGTCCTAGGTTAGGGGAGGGTTTGGTGCTAGCTAACTAGTTCAACCCCGCCACATTCTGTATTTTCCTGTCCCAAGTAATGTACAAATACAAATAATTTTATTTACTAATCACAGGGCACGTACAAGGGCAGAATAATTACAGTTTAATTATGACAAAACATACAATACTTAAAATGATTTGAATGATTGAGTTGCTTAAAACATTGAGCATATATACATTTATTAAGGAAAAGAACTGCATAAAATATACTACTGGTGAATAAAACCCAGCAATAAGGATTCCACCTGGAACACAACAATCTCATACCATAATAGAAATATAATAAAGGGGTACAGTTCTGTACATGTGAATATATATGATCTAGTTTTTGTAGAATGTTGCATAGCCAATAAAAAAAAACTGGCAAAACCCGTTCGCTCTATAAAATTATCAAGAAATACATACATAATTCAAAACGGAAAAGAGAAGGTACAAAAACTGGAAGTCCGGGGTTCGATATGTACTCGCTAATTCTTGAACTTAATCACGACGAAATGGAGTGTCATTATCTTGCATATACATAGTTATCATGTTTGATGTATATGCTAGTATAACAAGACTCGGGTTGATACATCATAACTGTGTTTTCTTGTTTATCGTTTTCATTGCACTTGTCGTTGATATTGGACACATACCATGTGCATTAAAAAATATCTAAATATGTTAAGAACTTTCTTCAAAATGACTTTTAAATTATTTCAAATGAAAACAAATATTTGCAATCCCAGATATACCTGATGTAACAATCACACAGCCGTTTCAAGGTTTTCTCGGACAAGCTATTACAATACAGTGCTCCTACGTTTCTAACCCTGGCGCTACCAATGTAATATGGAGTAAAGGAAATCAAGGCATTACTGTTGATGGTAACAAATACGTCGGCGGTAGCTTGTCCAATCCTAGCCTTACTATCACGAATCTGGCTGCTTCTGATCAAGGTTCATACAGATGTTCAGTAGTGAACTCCGTGGGACAAGGATATTCATCATCTGTCACTATTTTGGTTGATACATCAAGTAAGTTACATGCGTCATTATAAAAAATATTTCTAGAATAATTTAGTTATATTCTATGTGATTGTCTGTCATCATCATAATGAGGATGATGTATTTCCTCTTCAAATTTGTAGATGTCTAGTAAGTAATATGGGATATTGTATTGAATAAAAGTTTGACTGATTACATAGACAATTTTATTTTATTAGATGAGTCATTTAGGCTGCCCGTAGATGCAAACAGTTATCATATGAGTTATAGTGATTGTAGATGAAAACATGTTATTGAATCATTAAGAATCGTCGTATATTTAAGTCTAAATCTTGTTTATTATTTCAGTAAGGGATAGTTATTCTGGTGTATTCAGTATGTTAAATAAATTTATAAATTTTGATCCCAGGTTTTCTTAGCTATTTTAACGTTTAGATGAAGTAAATCCAGAAAAATCCATTCAGACACACCAAATCCCTTAAGGATTATTTTGATTTGTTTTTCGCTGGTAAATGACATCGCTTATGATGGACAGTTTTCACCTTAAAGTTTCTTCGGCCTAGTGTATTTTCTTCACATAATGTCTTAAATGTCCGGTGATAAATTTAGAACTCATTAAGAAACTCTACGGACAATTTTTGATTCTTTATTTTCATCATTTCATACAGCTCCTTAAGAATTCATACTCCCTCCGCTTTCAAACGTTTGATTTAGGACAATCCAATCTTGATGAAGGCAATTCTAGAAAATGTTTCGGGTGAACGTCTTTAAGTAGATTTTACTTTCATTGTCACACATTATCACCAAATATGTTTTATCCCGTCTCTTCAAATTAAAGATTTTAGACGAAAATTTGATATTTCGATATTGGCTTTTGACAAATAATTATAAATAATTTTTACAGCTGCACCATCATACATAAGAATAGTACCAGCATGTCTTGTGGTAAATGAAGGTGAAAGTTTCACCCTGACTTGTGAAGCTGATGGTGATCCTGCCCCAACGTTCAACTGGTATCAACATGACGTATTGATACATCAAGGAGCTGTTTTATCCATTTCTAACGCCAACTGGACTATACACGACGGTTTAAATGTGTGTAAAGCTACCAATACCAAGGGAAGCCGGCAGACGTGGGAAAGTGTTAACGTTCAGCGTGAGTTACGTTTTATTTCCGTTAGATAGATATAACTGAGAAAGGTGAAAATAGTCAATTTTTATTAACTAATGTTGCGCAAATTCAATGTTTGAACACTACCCTGTTTTGTTTTTACTTCTAATATGTTAATCTAACATTATGTGTTATAATTGACAGATAAACCAGTGAGCACTGTTACACAGACAAGGATATCACAAATAGTTGGTAGTCCTGTCAGTCTAAGCTGTGACACACGTGCAAACCCATCGGCTACTGAATGGCAATGGTTTTATAATGGTTATTTTCTATCGTCTACCAGCAAGGTGCTTGTTGTTGATATGGATTCAGCTAGTGACGCTGGATCATATACCTGTAGAGCTATGAACGGTGTAGGAACATCATCGGACATTGCATTCAACATTGCTATACTAACAGGGACAGGTAAGTTTTCTTTTTATATACAGGAATGTTTTAACATATACATACTGTTAAATGAACGCATCGCTTTAAACATTCTGTGCGTCCGAAATGTTTTACTAGGTCTACATTTATCAAGAACGGTCATACCCAAAAATTATAATAATAGATAACAAATAACTGAACACGTCAGGAGCTGTAAATCAAAAAGAGACCGGAAAAGAACAGTCAAATCATTCTAAGATTAAATTTGCCTGAATATTATTTTTCTAAATATTTTTTTAATTAATAAACGAAGAATTTAATAAAGGTATGATATAAATTATGTCAGATGCATTGACTAATGAGCTGATGCTATCACACAAATCAATTTTCTAGTTCAACATGTTAACAAGTACACTTTCGTGTATTTTGAAATTTGATGTTTGTATTAACTGTCAACATTTTATGTCACGGTTGATCCGCCGCTACGCATTGCACACTAATAAGCAGGTGTATACTGTTGAATTTCAAACTTTCAAAGAAAAAATTCATTGGATCATTATTTTTTTCCTGATCATTTTTGTACTTTTGACTTGTTAATTCTTACATTATATAACAGCTGCATTATTAATATTATAATATCATTTTTTTTTACAGAAGGGCCAACAGGTAAGCAGAATATGATCGTCTCTTGTCGGACTTTGCCACTCACAACTTGTATCATTATAATTTAGTCCACACTGTAATCAAATGTGATAATGTGTAATAACAATCATGCACTTTCTAATGTCAAATATTATTCGTTATTTGAAACTCATTTATCCTTAATTAAGTAACACGCATGTATTTAATGTCGGTTTGTCTTGGATTTGCCTACTATTATAGTAATTTTGTGTTAAGTTTGAAAACTCATGTGCAGGTATACGAAGGTCTTTTGACTTGTGTGCTGTTGCATCTTTCAAAGACCGCATTAACGCTGAATCTTAAACAAGTTTGAGACAAATTTCATAGCATTTTTAGAATATTGTTATATTTCTAATTACACCTTTCGTTCTTTACCATAAGATATTGCGAGGATTTCTACACCCTCGCAGGTTATTCAAATAATGGAATCAATGTTTAATATCATTTTATTTCTATTCATTTTTCGCTGTTCGAGGAACAATCAAATAAATTTCTATTTTTACTTCTTCATTAACTTATTGTCTTCAACGTTTAAGGATTTTTATGTAACGTCGTACGCAGTAATTATTTTTATTTTGATCTCAGAATTACAGTACACAGCATCCCCTGAATACATATTTAATGTTGAGACGTTATTCCCGTTATTCGTTGGAACTTGAAGAAATCTAAAATATATGTGATAAAATAGCATTTCAGTAGTAGATTCATGTAGTCAATAACATATATTGTTGGAAAATTTTCCTTGATCATGTCTTACGATTAAAATATATGTCCTTAACGTGAACTATCTCAAAGACATGCACGGTGAAATGGGTAATATATTTTTATTGCTGAGGTTCTTACAAAACAATTTATATATTTTCCTGGTAATATATCAGACACTATGTTTAGTTAAAAGAAAGTTTCCTATACAAATTTTTGTTTGTAGTTACTGATCCTGCAGGACCTGCGACTGGAGCATCAATAACTGACACAGCGATGTTATCTACTGGAGAAATAGTCGCAATCCTCTTAGCCATTCTTTTTGTCCTGCTGTTAATAATTGGAATCATTGTATGCTGTTGTTGTCAAGGTTCGTGTTTCTATAATGACCATTTAACCTTATCTAAACGACAATCGGAATCAGCCGTGAAGTTGACATGACTTTATAGTGTGCTCGCCACATGTTTGGCGGAGAGTTTAGTTCAGTTTCTGGACGATGCATACACTTTAATATCTTAACTTGCTCATCCTTTCAAATATAAATATGACGGCTGATCGGTTGGAAGAACTAATAATTTTTCGAGTCAAAATCCAACTCAGTATTCGTAGTTGTACACATCAGGATATATCTAGATGTTATCGTCCTGAACTTGTATTTAACATCGCCCCAGAGGGTTCACGATCAATTAATCAATAAGTTGATAAAACACAACATCAAGGCTTGACGATTCAGTGGCATTTAACTTGATATAAATGTCTTCCCTCAAAATGATAAAACATATGACGCAATCATTTTGAAATCTTAAAACTGATATATTGTTTTTTTTTTCTTAAATTATCTTTTGTAATCGATTGATTGGTGTTTAAAGCCACTTGCAGCACTATTGTGCTATTTCATAGCAGCCAGATTTTATTTGTGGAGTAAGCCTGATTTCCCGGAGACAACAATTGACCGATCTGTAGTAATATATATATATATATGATGAGATGGGGGGTTTACGCAGATGAGACGGCAACATAAAATTCGAAAACAACTCAAAATAAGTCCAAACTAAAGTTTCAACTACCTCAGGCAAAGATTGCCTCAGATGGAATTGGCCATTATCCTTCTAGATCCTTTTTGGTCAAGTGTTCGGTTCTAATGCATTCCTTGGCTTTCAAATATTCAGCTTTGGGCGTTCCTGATGAAGGTACATCCAGACAAGTGCTTTAGACGCATGAACTTTAAGTTCAATTCGAAGTTTAAGTGTTTTTGTTTGTTTTTTTTTTTTCATTTGTCAAGACCTTGTCAATGATTCCAAGTGCAGGTAATAAAATTTAAAACATTGAAAGATTAGCTACCACAGCCACCTAATTGCTAATAATTTCAGAAACATGTGCTACCTTGTGTGGTGGTAAGAAAGAAAGAATTACTCCACAAGACTCACCTAAGAGAGTTGAGATACCTGTGTACTATCGAGAACCTGATGAATCGGTTATCTCACTTCGTAAATTAGAAATACCAACATTTAAGCAGGATGCGTAAGTAAACAAATTCTGTTTTTATAACAGAATGTTACTCATTTTAACATTTGTGGTTTTTAACTAACAGAATAGATTCATTCTTCATTTATAATATTAGTTTTCTCTAAGTATTGAAATAAGAGTGGGTGGTTTGATTTTCAATGAGACATCTATTCATCAGGAATGAAAATAAACAACTATAGGTCATCGTACAAACAATGACAAAAAACCCATACCGTTTAGTAAGCTTGTAAAGCTTTGACAAAATGCAAACCAACTCAACGAAAAACCCATTGACCTAATTTACGATACAGCAATAAACGAAAAAATATATATCATAGACAGAAACCAAAGACTCCGACTAAGTTACAGGCTTCTGACTTCTGAAACGGACATACATAATTTGGCGGAGTTAAACAAGTTTGAGAGCGCTCAATTCTCATTGGACAAGGTGGCACAGCACGATATAAAAACATACTGGACAAATGACTTGTCAGATTGGCACAAACAAACCAAATCAACTAACAAAAACACATGTTTTAATTTGTAGTTTTGTTTTTCTTTCAGAGAACAACCTGTTAAGCATAATGTTTACAGGTAAGTTATAGTTGCTGCTGAAAGTGCTTTGTTGTCAGAATTATTTTTTACATTTTTTAAGTTAATTACTTATTTAGATATCTCCTGTATGTAAAATGAAGTTATATGGTGGATGTCGATAACATTTAAACGACATAAATAAACAAACACATCTAGAGGTAAACATACATTAACAATATGTTAATCTCTTAACAATAGAAAATACATTCTAGATTCATTAACTAGTGAAAATGACCGGAAAAAAAATTGCTGCATCTTTGACATCAAAACCGATGTAATAAACCAATATTTCGATTAAACTGCATTTTAGGTAAACATTTAAAACGAAATCATAAAAAAATTGCAGAAAATATTTTTTAAAGTATCTTCAGTCTAGTGATTTTATATCAGGTCCAGTTTACCATAAACTACCCTGGCAGGACAAATTAAATTTAGTATCGATATATTTTTGTATATTACTGGATTTTTGGGACAAAAAATGGAAAAAAGGCATTTATGACCACAAATTTCTGAATAGACATTTTTTTAAGTTGGGTCAATGAATTTTCAACAAAAATTATCATTGTTTGTATTAGTTCTATTGATTATATTAAAACAGAACTTCACCGCACACTATGTTTATAATTATATGAAAACAGGTTTTTTTGGCATTTTTCGGTAAAATATTGTAAACATCATGAAAAATGTATTTTAAGGTTAACAAAGAATTCCGCTATGAACCGTTAGAGAGCCTTTTGAACTTGCAGTGACGTGGGAGCTTTCGTCCCATGATGCAGAACAACACGAAAATAATTTTGTTCTTCAAGAGAAATTTCTAAGGAATTTAGAGCAAAATTATTAATGTGTTTATTAGAAATTACTTACAAAACAATCTTAATTATTGTCTTCCTGAAGTGAATGCTCTCCGTAAAAAAAAGTTTATACTGATTGGTTGTTGGTTGATTAATGCCAAGTGGCGAATATTCCATGCATATTCTGGAGGAGAACACATCAATGTTTAGAAGTTCTGCTATGTAGGTCCACCGAAATTAAGGGCGGAACAATTGACTGTAACAGGAAAAGGACGATATGCTGATAGGGGCGGAAACCATCTTGATCTATTTTTATCTCGGAACCCTAAGAGAGTTCTTGCAAATGTTCTTTTACATACCGAAAACGAGGCGATCATCGCTGGGATAGGAATTAACATTAGAGTTTGAGTTTGAGTATCCCCTTATTATCTTTCGCCTCTCTTTTATAAAATATTGACAGAATTGAAACACAATTCATAGTTGAATGGTAGACTAAGTTGCAAACTATGCTCTAATATGACTACTTAAGTGTCTTTACAAACAACGTTATATTGCTGGGTATTCCAAGAGCACCACGAAACCTCTTTCTATATTGTTAACATAAATTTTATCAGGCTGGGCTTCAATTTTATTGTAAAACTACCTATTCTAGAGGTGGGATGAATCAGATGTGGATACTAATAAATTCCAAAGATCTTTTAGAGTACATACAATCTAAGACTCTGTCATCTTGCAATAGTATTAAAACATTTGAATTTTCTACACTTTACACAAGTATTCTCCATTCCAAACTAAAAGACAAATTGATAGAGTTGGTCCTGATTTGTTCATAAAAAAGAATGGCCAGCATAGATACAAGTATCTTGTTTTAGGAAGGATAAATCTTACATTTATATAGGTGATGTTCTCTCACTAAATAACTCAAAATTTGGTGATTATGTTGAACGCATCTATCCCATCGAACTTGAGATAAAGGATACAACAGATACATTTTTAAGACTGCCTCATATCTTGACTTACATCTGGAAATTGACAAAGAGGGTCGTTTGAAAACAAAACTTTACGACAAAAGAGATTAGTTCAGCTTCCCAATTGTGAACATTCCATTTCTATGTAGCAACATTCCAGCAGCACCTACATATGGAGTATATATCTCCCAGTTGATACGATATTCCAGGGCTTGTATTTCCTATCATGATTTCATTGAAAGAGGGTTGCTGCTCACAAGGAAGCTATTAAGAGTTCCAAATGGTCAGGTTGAAATTGAACTTCCAAATCAAACTTTTATGAAAGTATTTTGTGAAGGCTTACTTAATCAACAATACCAATTATGAAACATCTAATGTATACCATTGACGTTCTACCGTGTTTCATTTGTAGTTTTGTATTTCTTTCAGTGAACTACCTGTTAGAATGGCACGGCCCGAGAAGCATAATGTGTACAGGTAAGTTATGTTTGCTGCCGAAAGACTTGTGCTTAGCTGTCAAAGTTTTTTTCGTTTGATAAGTTAATTATTTATATAGTTCCTGTAAAAAGGAGTTGTAGGGTGTATGTCGATAAGACAACAATCAAACGATATAAATATACAATCACATCTAGAGGTAAACATACATTAACCGTATTCTAATCTCTTAACCGCCCAAAGTCAGACTTATTGTCAGTTCGTTTTCGACTCATGCAATAGTTCATAATTCGATTAAGCAAAAACAAATCCGTGTTACAAACTAAAACCGAGGGAAACACATCAATTATAAGAGGAAAACAACGGAACAACAGAAACACTGAACTACAACAAAAGCAAACGCCTACATCAATAGAAACAGACTGTCTGATAACAACTGCCATATTCCTGACTTGGTACAGGACTTTTTAAGAAAAATATGGTGTGATGAACCTAGTTTTATGATTAACCAAACCTCCTGCTTATATGGCAATATTATAAATATTAGTACCGCTAAAATGACAACACTACGTGACAGGAATACAGTACAAACAAACGAAAGAGCACTTAACACAGAGAAACACATAAATAAATAATAAAATAGTACATTACAACATGTCAACCGCAGAATAACAACGGACACCTCCAATGAATTTACGACAGCACACCAGGACACCACAAACGAAATATAAACTGCGCGTCACTTGAATGGATGAACGTCACAAAAAGTGACGTATTTTTTTGTGACGCTAATATAATCACAGGTAAATTTCTAAAAAAAAAATAGATTTGTTTTATTTATAGACACGTACAAGAATATTAAATTAGGATTGAGTTTCTATTGGTGTTATGTTATATATTTTCTAACCATGACAAGAATATTAAAATGGAATTATGTTTGTAATGGTGTTATTATTTGTATTTTCTAACCATGTCGCTTTTTCTTCTAAATCAAAATCATGAGTTTGATTATTCTTTTGGTATCTTTTGCCTTTTTTATAAAATGTTAACAGAATGGAGGCATGACTATAGTGCGTATGGCATGGCATACTAAGATGTAAACTAGGCTCATATGGCCTTTGTAAAAGTAGCTTTGGCTCCTTAATTTGCAGTGTTGGTGTTAACAAAATACAAGTTTGTGTGTGTCAAAACACATAACTAATTTTCCATGAATTGGTTCCAAGTAAAACCTAGCGTAATCATATCATATTTGGATATTAGAAAGGAAAACCCATTTGTTTTATTAGCAACTTTGAAGTTCTTAACAAGACATCAAGTCATACTATTTACCTTCGGTTTTTAAGTGGCAGCAAATGTATGTACAAAATACCCCTACATAGTTATTTACCTTTTAAATAATAAGTCGGGAGTCGCCTTAAAGAAAAAAGGATCTTTTGTGATTGAGGTTGTGCAGAATACATTTTTCAGATGAAACGAAGTCAGACATTTTCGACCACATTACAAATATTTTCATCTAAGATTCCTTTCTGACCTTTCATTTTAATGCATATTAAAATTAAAGACTCATGCAAAACACAATTATTGCGATCATGGAATTTTGTAAAATAAATGCCTTTAATTTTCGTTTATTTTTTTGTTATGTATCAAAAAAACGATATGTGTCATGATTGCTAAAATGACAAAGAACGAGGATGTTAACTATAGATAACAGTTTGGTCTTTTTTTCATGATAAGCAAAACTTGTATCATATTGGTAGCTATAAAAGGCCTATGGATATCAAAAAGTGAAACAATTAAACAAACTCATTAAAGATTAATGGCTTATGATTTAGTGCGTCAGACGCGCTTTACGTTATCATAGAATTCATTTTGCTAAAGAACTCTTTTTCAGAATTATAGTAGAGATTATTTGCTCGACAAAGTCCTTTTGGGTAGACGAAGTCTATTTATCATTGATTTTTGAAGAATTTTGGAATTTGTCGACTCGTATTAAAGTTAAAAACAAGCAACGTCTTTTGATTGCACCATTTTTTTCTTAAAATGTCCTGTGCCAAGTCAGGAATATGGCAGTTGTTATCAAATAGTCCGTTTCTATGTATGTTGGCGTTTGTTTTTGTTGCAGTTGAGTGTTTCTGTTGTTCTGTTGTTTTCTTCTTATAGTTGATGTGTTTCCCTCGGTTTTGGTTTGTGACCCAAGATTTGTTTTCGCTTAATCGATTTATGACTACTGGACAGCGGTATACTACTGTTGCCTTTATAAGCAGGCGTTTGTTTGAAATATGTCTGACGACGATCTTACACGTACAGTGACGTACACTTGTTTCATCATCACTAACAATTAAGATAAATGTCCAAAATACAAAACTCACCCAATCGGTGCCCCTTTTCCAAAATAATGATCCGTATTTGAATTGATATCTTACAAGTAAAGATACGTTTACCTGGAAACAAATGTGTATGCCTGGCCACATATTTGTTTTCATGACAGTTCTGAATTAATGGCAATTTAGACATTATGTTTATATCAAACATTGTAAATTAAGATCCTGATAGCTTACACCGACTTTATTTGTTCATAATGCCAGATATTGTCGTTTTTGTTTAATAATATAAAAAGTCAAAATCAAATTCTACGTATTTTTAACTGAAATTGTTATATCTCAATACGATTTCATTCAAGAAAGTTTCTCTTGCAATGCCGGGTATTATTTGTGTTCTGATAAATGTCTGTTTATCAGCAATATAGTGCCATGCCTTGCAATATATTTTCCATTGTAATTTTCATTTACGTTTATCTTTTATTACATTTTCAAAGCCGAAATAGTACCTTAAGCATTGATCTGTATTAATCTTCTTTTACTTCTCGACCATAAACTTCTTTCACTCGACCCTTATTAAGCATTTTTTCTTTAGCGGACCTTCAGTTTGTATTCTTTCTTTACTTGACTGTCCGTAAGCGTTTTTTCTTTACCCGACCATAAGTACACATTCATTTTTTACTCAATCTTCAGTGAGCATCCTTTCTTACCCAAACCTTCAGTTAGCATACATTTTTTACTCGAAATTCAGTAAGTATTCTTTCTCTATTTGACTTTCCGTAAGCATTTTGTATGGGGGCCAGCTGAACCCCGCCTCGGGGTGCGGGATTTTCACGCTGTGTTGAAGACCCATTGGTTGTCTTGGGCTGTTTTCTGATCATTGGTCGGATTGTTGTCTCTTTGACACATTCCCCTTTCCATTCTCAATTTTATTCTTTCACTGTCTGACCTTGAGTACGCATCCTTTCTTCAGACGACTTTCAATATACATCATTTATTTATTTGACCTTATAAAGAAGTATTAACAAAGTACCGGAATCGAAGGTAAATTAAAAAAGGAAAAGTCCATAAAAACTCAATCGTTAGACTTTATTAACCAACGAAACGAATGTAAAACAACTGTCATATTTCTGACTTACTTAAGGCATTTGCCAAAGAAAAGGCATTCTTGATTTACCCGACCGTCAATCTGAAAGTAAGCATATTTTATGTACTCGACCTTCAATAAGCATATTTTGTAAACCTAACCTTCGGTAAGCGCCTTTTCTTTGCCCGACCTTCAGTAGACGTCCTTTCTTTACTAGACCTTCAGTAAACATTTTTCTTATCCCGCCCTTTAGTAATCATGCATTCTTTACTCGTTCTTTAGTAAGAGAGAGGCAAAAGATACTAAAGTGACATTCAAACTCATGAGTCGAAAAGAAATTGACAACGCCATGGCTAAAACAGAAAAAGTCAGACAGACAACAGTACACAAAACACAACATAGAAAACTGAAGACTGAACAACACGAACCCCACCAAAAACTGGGGGTGATATCAGGTGCTCCGGAAGGGTAAGCAGATCCTGCTTCACATGTGGCACCTGTCGTGCTCATGCAAGTTCAAACCCGGTGATTAACTGGGAGATATATACTCCGTATGCAGGCGCTGCTGGAATGTTGCTACATAGAAATGGAAAGTTCGATTTATGAGTTTGAATGTCCCTTTGGTATCTTTCGCCTCTTCTCCACAATTGGGAAGCTAAAATCACCTCTTTTGTCGTAAAGTTTTGTTTTCAACCGACCGTCATTGTCAATTAGCAAGCATGCGTTCTTTACTCGACCTTCAGTAACATTGTTTTCCGTACTTGACCTAAAGGAAGCATTCTATCTTTACCTGACCTTCACTGAGCATTCTTTGTTGTATCCCCCCTCCACCCCCCCCCCCCCCCCCCTTTCAGCATATTTTATTATCCCGACCTTCAAAAACTTGAGCATCCTGAGTTTTACCCCACATTCAGTAAGTGTTAAAAAAAGTAAAAAAAAATGGTTTTATCAATGTAAACAAACCCCTAATTCTAACTCTATTTCAGCTAAATATGGGGGCTAATTGAATAAGTAAGGACCCCTTAGCCACTTAATGGTTAAAAAAGAAGCTCATACTAGTGTCATGTTACCACAAACTACAAATTAAACCTGAAGAAATCTAGTATAGCTGTACATGTGTGAAAAAAATAAGAATATACACTTTATTTTTTTCTGTGAATGTTATAGTCAACTAAAATATGTCGCGTCTCAAATTCCAGTGGTTGCACATGCGTCAGACGCTGTGAAAGGTTAAAGCGAGCAGTTATAATAGATAAAATATATTACATGTTTCATTAAGATTATAAAGTTCTACTTTCTGGGTAAATTTGGACATTATTACCAACAGATCAGACAACATTTGCTGAATCAGCAATTTTCAGTCCCAGGGGTGAAATTTAAGGTATATCATTCTAGTTGCCCTAAATCATTTCTTATTGGTAAATTTACAAATTGAATGCGTAAACACAATACCTTAATTAATTTAGTATAAATCATATATTTACCAGTTAAGGTGGCACGGTAGTACTGCTTGGCCATTAGAAATAATGATAGCCTTTTTAAAATTTTCACCACTTTCTAACATTGCCAAAGAACCTTCATACACAGTTAATTGAAGTACTTTTATTATAATATTCAGAAAAAAATTTGAATATGTACGATGCTCGTTTACTTTTTTGCAATCTTTATAAACCTAGGTCCACTAGTGCGTTTGTGTATTTATCACGCAGTGAATACAAAATTCTCAAAATTTCTCAAAAAATTATTTTCACCTGTATTTCAAATTATTTCATATTTTTCTACACCTGATTCATTTCTCAGTTTGGGGACACATGTTCACAAGAGAGCAACCTAGTTACCGGAAAGTAAATACTACCATATCACCTGTAGAAGACCATCCGATTCTCAGTAAATATATTAATTTATTGTCAATTTGTCACATTTTAGTAGACACCCTGAAGATGACGATGAAGAATACGTGATTAACAAGTACCACGGTTATCAGTCTGAAGATAACGAAAAACTGTAAGTAGGACATTCATTTTCGTATCTTTAGATTATTAATGTGTTTTTATTGAAAGCCTCAGTTGTCATAAATTAGTGATTTACAAAACGTTATGCTGAAGCTTTTAATGTAAAGTTAAGACAACGGGATGTTGAATCGAGTCATCAAAATGCTAACTTTACTTAACAATATGCTAAGTTGGATCTGTGTTATGTTGACTTACAATTGCAAAAGCTGTCGTTGCGATAGTATAATGACAAGTCACGATGTTGTGATGATATGCCAATTACACGCTACGTTGAGATTAAATTACACGATGTAAAGATTACATTACATGGTGTTAACTTGCAAATGGGTAATGCTTAGTCATCTATTTCGATTGCAATGTTAATTAATCCCTCGGGACTAATACAGTAGACCTTGAATCAATACATGGGCCAATATAGAATCAGCGAGTTTGTAACACTTTTATTAAATAATCAAATCAGTTCATATGGCTGGTCTGTATGGGCAGTCTGTATTACAGGAAGTAGCTACAGCTGGTCCGATTGACAGGAAGTAGATATAGCTGATCCGTATGGCTAGTCTATATGAGAGGAAGTAGATCCAGCTGATCCGTATGGAAAAGCTTATTAACCGGGACAAACAGCCGTATTAAACGTATGGTTAATATGAGTTGATCTTTTGAATTCCATATTAGTCATGCTGATTTAGCATATTAGCGTCAATTTATGCCTATTATTAAAAAAATCACTTTAATGTTACGATATGCTTACCGTACAATGTTAAAATACAACCATACAAAATGCTTAGCATGACTAGACTGGTAAGAAGTTCAAATATATTTGTTTAAATTTTGAATCATATTGTGATGATTTGCAACAATATGGTGTTGCCTTCCAAATGAGGTAGGTAGAATTAAGATATTGTGATGATAATAGGAAACATTCTTCGAATGTAATACAAAGTTTAGATCGTATTATGTTAAATTGAAAGAGTATAATGATGCAACAAAACAAAATTTTTAATTGAAACCACAATTCTATGGAAAAGAGTGAGGGACAATTTCCAAGGATTTAATTTTCTCATTTGCATGGTCAATATCTCAAAGTTGATAAATATTGATGAAATTTTAACTCAAGATTAATGCAAAATGATATACAAAGGAGATTTTAGTTATATTGATAATTAAAAGTATTACCCATCGCTATACATTACACTTGAATACAGTTTCGCATATTTCACATGTTATGTTTGTATTTTTTTGGTAAATTTTGCATCAAAATGATCTTACTAAGAATCAAAATCTCTCAGAATTGCTTTTATGCACCATATTCAAGAATGTGTTGTTATGTCATATATACAGCATAATGTTCAGTGATAATGTTGTGACCAATATATTCTCATTTGTCTGTTTTAAGTCAGGAACCTTGTCAGTAGTTTTTTAACTAAATATTTTCTGTTATTTTTCATAATAGGGTTTTAATGGCAATTATTATATGAATTCTGTTAAATGTGTTAACCTCACTATGACTGTTGATTATTTTTGCCGTTGGGATGCAGTCACGATTATGTAAATCCCACATCCCCTTTTATTCATACAACGTTTACATATTAAGGTTTGTAACTGTTAATTTTTGTAAGGAGAACGACATTTTGAAAATAGTCCTAGTGTGAAATGCATTCAGGAGAAAAATTGTTCCTTCTTTTGTTATTAGTTTCAATAGTATAGATTATATTTACAAATTTCTAATTTATTTGGTTTGTCGCCTCTAAAAAAATATCTGCTCTGGCAAATGATCTACCAGAGTTAGAAGAAAGTGTATGTAAGGCAGCTTTAGATGAGGTTTTAGTTGAAGGTCAACTTTTCCTCGTAAAGTCCCATCCATGTCAGCGTTATCAGAAAATTTCGAAATAAAACAAGAATATGGACTTAATCAAAACCAAGCCCTCCCAACCTTAAGGCGAGTATGATACCACCGATGTTATTTGGAATTAGCATTGATTGTCAAAATAAACATAAGGAGATGTGGTTATGTATGATTGCCAATGAGACAACTATCCACCAGAGTTCAAATGAAGTTGATATGTAAGCAATTATAGGCAACCGTAATGCCTTCAACAATGAGAAAACCCCATACTGTATAGTCGGCTTTAAAGGGCCCCGACATGAAAAATGTGAAACAATTCAAATGAGAAAACTAATGGCCTAATTCATAACAAAACAATATCCAAAAAACAACTATGACAGACATTAACCGACGACAACCACTGAACTACAGGCTCCTGACTTGGGACAGGTACATAAAGAATGTGGCGGGGTTAAACATGTTTGTGAGCAATCAACCCTCCCTTGTTTGTCCAACTCTGGTAGATAGTTGTCTCATTGGCATTAATACTACATCTTCTTATTTTTAGTTTGACAGTCTATGTAAATGGCAAATCGCTTCGTTGGTCTCATACTCGGCTTTAGGTTAGGAGGGCGTGATTTTGATTAGGTCTTTATTCTTTTGTTTTATTTCGGAGAAAAGGGATGTAAAACATTCAATTTTTCTGATACCGTTGACACACTGGTGTGATGTTACGAGGAAAAGTGAACTCAATCTAACGCTTCGTCTAAAACCACCTTACACCCACTTCATTGGATCTCTGGTGGATAGTTTTCTCATTGGCAATCGTACCACATCTCCTTATTTTTATCTGACAATCTATGTAAATCCCATAGCATCGGTGGTTTCATGCATACAATATTAGCCGCTACACGCTAAACCTCCTGCTTATCCATATGGTTAAATCCGAATTTTATAGATCATTATTTAAATCAATAAGTTTATCTTTTTTTAGGGGGCACATTTTCTTATAACTATGACCCTCACAGACCTACGCTTTAGTGAATCATTTGTCAGATCAGTTGTTTTGTTTTATATTAAGTGCACATTCTTTTGTTTTATTTCGGCGAAAAGGGGGTAGTAAATTCATATTCTGTGATAACTCTGGCACGGATGTAATGTTATGAGTAAAGGTTGACCCTCACAGTCCTAACCTTTAGTAGATCATTTGCCAGAGCAGATGAACTTTTTTAGAGGAGACAAACCAAATAAATCAGAAGGCTCAAGAATTTGAATTTCCTCTGATTTTTTTTTTTTATCATGTGAATATGATTTATACTATAGAAACTATTGAATAACAATTTCCCCCTAAATGCATTTTACACTAGGACTATTTTCAAAAAGCTGTTCTCTTTACAAAGCTTAATATTTGAACGTTGTATGAATGAAACGGAATGTGGGTTATACGTCATTAAGACAGCATCCCAAAGACGAAAGACATAGTGAGGGTAACACATTTAACAGAATTTATCAAAGAATTGCTATCAAAACCCAATTTAAAAAAAATAACGGAAAATATTAAGTCATTAAAACTACTGACGAGAATCCTGACTTAAAACAGATAAATGAGAAATATCTTGGTCACAATATTATGTTGTTTATATGACCAAACACGTATTTTTGAATATGGTTCATTAAAGCAATTCTGAGAGATTTGATTTAATAAGATCATTTTAATGCAAAAATTTATCCAAAAATCCAAAAATAACATATACAATACGCGAAACTGTATTAAAGTGTAATGTTTAGCGATTGGTTTTACTCTTGCTGTATGAATATAACTTAAATCTCCTTTGTGCATCATTTTGCCTCAGTCTTGAGTTAAAATCTTATCAATATTTATCAACTTTCAGATTTTGACCATGCAAATGAAAAAAATTTATTCCTTTGAAATTGTCCCTCACTCTTCCATAGAATTGTGGTTTCAATTAAAAAAATATTGTAATGTTGTTGCATCATTATACTCTTTCAATTTAACATAATACGATCTAAACCTTGTATTATATTCGAAGAATGTTTTCAATTACCATCACAATATCTTAAATAACCCTATCCCACTTGGAAGGCAACACCAAATTGTTGCAAGTCATCACAATATAATTTAAACTTAATATAGATATTTTATCTTATTACCAGTCTAGTCATGCTAATCATTTTGCTGTCGCATGTGAACATCGTGTACTTTCAACTTTACATCGTGTAGTTTTAAGTCAACACATCGTATAATGAGCCTCTCGTGACGTCATTATGATATAATATCGTGCTATCTTAGCTCAACCTCAAAAACTTTTCAACTATACGTCGTGTAGTTTTAAGTGTTCATAATTTTTATGGTTAGCCCATCGTGGCATTACAATGATATAACATCGTGCTTTCTTAGCTTAACATCTCATACTTTCCACTGTATGTTGTGTAGTTTCAAGTGTACATATTGTATGGTAAACCCATTGTGACATTATAATGATAAACCATCGTGCTATTTTAGCTTAACAACATGTACTTTCAACTGTCAATCGTGTAGTTGTAAGTCAACACATTGTAAGGTAATTCTATCGTAAATTTAAAGTGATACAGCATCGTGCTATCTTAACTTAACATCATGTACTTTCATCTGAACGTTGTGTATTTCAAAGTAGGCATATTTTATGATTAACCTTTCGTTACATTAAAGTGATGTAGCAGTGTGCTATCTTATCTAAGCTTAACATCATGTATTTTCAACTTTACATGGAGTAGTTTTGAATCAACATTGTGTATGACAACATATCGCAATATCAAACGGATATAATATCGGACTATATCTGCTCAAATTTTATTTATAACAAGTCAGTATCACACAATTTAGTTTCATTTTATTTGTTATCATAGCAATCGGAGTAGATGACTTAGCAATACCCAGTTGCAATTTACCATGATGCAATGCCAACCTCACATCATGTACTGAAAACTAAACGTAATTTGAAATTGTCATATCAAAACAACATGGTGACTTATCATTATACTATCACAACTAAAGATCTGGCAATTGCAAGTCAACATAACACAGATTCAACTTAGCATATTGTAATTCAATGTTAACATTTTGATGACTTAATTCATTATCCCGCTATCTAAACTTTACCTTTAAAGCTTCAACATGCGTTTTGTAAATCTCTAATATATGACAGCTGATGCTTTCCATAATTTGTTGTTTTTTTGGTACATGTACATTACATAGAATGTGCAAATACATAAATTGTTGCCAAACAGTCTGATATCAAAGTGATAATATTACAGAACTAAATTTTGTGTTATCATATTACAGTGAGCAAAGAGAACGTTCAATAGACAACACATATTCCGATATAACTTGCACATACGAGGAGGAAGAAAGGCGCAGAAAACGAAGGCGAAGAAAGAAAAAGAAGAACAAACGTCTTCGTGATGAAGTTACTGTAGAAGATGGAATAGAGAATGGCGATGCTTTACGTTCCAAGGTACGGTCAAGACGTAGCAAACACCGTACCTTGAGGACGTCACGTGATCATGAGCAGGGTGTAATGATAGGTGAAAAATTTTATTACGAACAGGAGTAATTGACATATTCGATATATATTGTATAAGTGCAACAAAAATATCTTGATATGTCTCATGAGTGAAACCAGTAGGAATAATGTGAACGGTTTTTAATACAACGATATATATGCATTTTCTCCTTTTTGTATTTTCTATATATACAGTGGCGTAGCATCAGTGTAGAATTGTAAACATGTGCTTACAAATAATTAAAAAAAAAAACATTTTTTCACAAATAATTTTATTATAATTGTTCAGCTTAAGGGGCTGCCGCCCCCAAATCCCCTGCTTGCAATTTGTTTTCCAGTGGCTACGCCACTGATGTATATGTAGAACATTAAATAGACAACACAACACTTTGTTTTCAATTTAGACTTGTATATATATATATATATATATGTAGGACTCAAATCTATGGTGGGTTCCAGATCTATGGCAAATTCCTGCAAATTCCTAATCTATGGTAAATATGATGTCACAAACGCCAAACAAATCACAAATCTATGGCAGTTTTTTGTTTTCTCCAAATCTATGGCAGATTTGGATATTACGTAATTATCCGTCACAATTAAATAACTTCATGTAACGTCGAAGCTGTCGCTGACAACGACGGTGTTTTTATACAGAAGGAAAAGAAAAAGATAGAAAAGCAAGTTTGCAAGGATCCTAATCAATAAATAAAGTGTGTTTGTTTCTACCCTTGTTTTCTTATTTTCGTGTTGCTGGTGTTGCCCTCACCCTTAATTGTACGAGCTTTTACTGTGCATTTTGGTTTGCTTTTTTGCTGTTTTGTTATTTTTTGTATCCCTATGATCTCTGTAATTTTCTGTTAGAAGTAACACAACGTAAAGTATTTTGTCAGCTATATAACAGTGACTACCTGTACTATTGTAGCAAATAATCTTTCTTGAGATTTGGAAATACTGATTATGTCATATATTTCTAATAGATATTAATATTATTTTCCGCTATAAATATGTCGAATAACTGCTGGTAGAGAAATAAGGATTTCTTTTTAGAAAGTCACGTGTTTGAGGCCAGTCATTGTTCATTACAGGACTTAAATCGTCATCAGTCAAAAAAGATTTACATTATTTAGCGCTCAAATCGACATTAGTTAAAAATTCAAACTGCTTTTTGTATTGTTCAGGGACTTGGTTAAATGAAGAGTCAAACAGGTACCATGCACAGAGAAGGAAATACTTATTCTTCCGGGGCACATGATTTCAACCCTAAAGTATGTGTTCATTTTACAAACAGTTATGGATATGGTAATAATCCTAATCCGTTTTTCTTATACTGGTTTTTACTTAAAAGCAGCTCTGTCGCTACCTTTGGACATTTCGACATCGAAATCACATGTCAGATATGTACTGACTAGTCCGACCTTTGCAGAAAATTTGTCATAGATTTGAAAACTAGAAACCCGCCATAGATTAGGAAACTAAAAAGTTGCCATAGATTAGGATTCTAAAAAATCTGCCATAGATTTGGGATGGCATGACGTCATATTTACCATAGATTAGGAATTTGCCATAGATCTGGAACCCACCATAGATTTGAGTCCTACATATATATAAATCAGTCTAACTTGAAAACAACGTTCAAACCCATGATTGCGTTGGATAAAAACCGCATTTTTTATACGTGTGCATGCAAAACAAATTTTTTGGTAGAGGGGTCTAAATACAGCACAAACAACATTTTCCAAAAGACCAAAAAAGTGAAAAAGTATATTTAAACAAAACGCATTTGCCTAACAGGTCGAACAACGGATGTTTTTAAACCCTGCTGACTGCCATTGGCGATTGCCAAATAAACGGATCACCAGATGTAAAAAAAAATGTATCTTTATTATTAATTTAATACCAAACAGAAAACAATAAACTTGCTGAAAAGATGGTATACCGCAAACATGAGGTGCAAAAATTTGTACACCATATCCGGATTCGACAATTAATGTCTCTTCAGTGATGTTAGGTGTCGAAACGGTATTAGGAAGGCCATATAATTTACCTCAATTTAGGATAGACTCTTGAATTTTGAAGAGTCGAAATAGGATGAACGGATCATATAAACTCGAAGGCAAATATAATACAAGCCCAAACGAAAAAATATAAATAAGTCTAAATTGAAAACAACGTTCAAACCTATGATTGCGTTGGATAAAAACCGCAATTTTTATACGTGTGCATGCAAAACAAATTTCTTGGTAGAGGGGTCTAAATACAGCACAAACAACATTTTCCAAAAGACCAAAAAAGTGAAAAAGTATATTTAAACAAAACGCATTTGACTAACAGGTCGAACAACGGATGTTCTTAAACCCTGCTGACTGCCATTGGCGATTGCCATATATATATATATATATATATATATATATATATATATATAAAACGTCTGAATAATAGTCAACGATTTTTCCCACGAGGGCGCTGGATCGTTACGAGTAACGATACACGTACACAATAAATAAATTATATAAACGCCTAAAAAGTGTACACAACAACACCAATAACAAAAAAAGGAACTATAAATGTAATTATTTATAAATATTTCGGATAACAGATATCCTTCATCAGTAAATATGATTGTGATGTTGAATGAATCATATATCAGTCTACTTAGATTAAACTATACCAATCTTGATCAAGATTGGTATAGTTTAATCTAAGTAGACTGATATATGATTCATTCAACATCACAATCATATTTACTGATGAAGGATATCTGTTATCCGAAATATTTATAAATAATTACATTTATAGTTCCTTTTTTTGTTATTGGTGTTGTTGTGTACACTTTTTAGGCGTTTATATATATATATATATATATATGTCTAAAATTTAGCCAACTCCCATGTTTAGACCTATATACATATATAGAGGGAGATTATTTAGCCAGAATATTGTACTATCTACTTTGGTAACAGGAAATGAAGTCAGTGCAGTAAAACTTAATATGTTAATCTAAGGCGTGTAAGTTGAACCTCAGCTAGTGACGGTCAGTGTGAGTTAGGCTTTAGATTGTAGAGAAATACGTTAGCAATTTGAATAAGGTGCCTTGTCCTAACAATCATATTTGTATTTAGATGTTTTATCCTGTTTTGTATGTCTGTAACATTTAGATATATATATATATGTGTGTGTGTTCCGTACCATATGAGTATTTCGCGTACGGTTGGACCATATGAGTATATACTCGTTGGGTTATGAATGGACAGGACCAAATGAATATTGTAAACATATAGGTATTTTTCGAATATATTTGACAAACCATAACCATTGTTTATGCTCATTTAACATGTGTACTTTTTGTGTAGCTAGTATGAATCAACACAAGTATGGTCAGGAAATAGGAAACAAAAGAAATAACTTAAAAGGATAATAAAAGGCAAAACAAAAACGTTTTTGAAAAAAGATAATTTTCAGAATATTACACTGGAATTGCTCATTTTAGGTGAACAATTAGATAAACATTAAACTTAAAACGTCACAACTCACTAACTGAAATCCTATTTGTTTGTCATATCACCTTAATTTGCATTATCTGTGTGTTGCCTTCCCTTATCATGCTAGTGCCAATTAAAAGTGTCCGTGAGTAAAACAGATGACTTTTTGGTTAATAGCTGATTTAGATATTTCTGAAGTTATCGTCCATTCTTCAGGAAAAATCGATAAGACCATGTATAAATGTGGTTACTTTACTATTAACTTGTGAATTAAATAATTTCACTTGTCCGACAATTGTAAGAGTTTTTTTAACATACGCGGATGGTCCAAATACTAATATGGTCTGGAATATATATATATTTCCTGCAATCAAATTGTGCTTAATTTTCAAATGCAATATATTTGTTTATATACTAGTAGTTAAAAGATATATCTATGATCCGTCCATTATTCACTTATTTTATAATATTAAGCTCAATACTGTGCTCTGATCCGTCCATTATTCGCTTATGTTATGATATTGAGCTCAATACTGTGATATCATTTATGATATTGTTAGTCACTATAAATTTTATTTTCTATTGTTTATGAATTTAATAGTATATGCTGTCTCGTAATCTTCTGCCCCATTCTATATTTATGTTTCTGAATGTTTCATGGGTATGTGTAATGTTTTTTTTATTAAATTGTATGATCAGGTTTTAGGTGACTTTTTATATTTATTTAAACTATTAGCAATCACACAACATCTTTTTATTTTTATATATCTCTTAATAAATTTTTAATATGTTTTATTTGTTTGCTTGTAATTTAATTTATTGTATACACAAGTAATCTATTCCATATACATCACTACATAAGGTTACAATAATCAAAACGAAAGGTTGTGACCTTTTGTATAACGTGTTTGTTTTTGGTAATCTACTGCTTTAAATATCTGCTTTAGAAGTTGTCTAGTTTTTGAATAAGAAGCAACTCGTACCATAGTTGGTAACGTAATCGCTAAACCAGACTCAATTTAATTATGGTTAATTACGATCCACTTTATATGGGTCATTTTAAAAAATGTTGAAATTTGAAATTGCAAAATTGAATAAAAGTTACTGATTTAAACCACTTTCTTTATAGTAAAGCAAAACAAACAATACTTATGGAAAACATATTGTACTGAAAAAAATATCTTTAAAAAATTGGTTTTCAAGGATTATAAAAATAACCACCAGCAACGTGAGTCTAAGATAGCATTTCATAGTGTTCAATATTTGTTTCTCTTTCTAATAAACAGAACATCAAGTAATTCCCTCGCATGTTGGTTTACTTTTGTCGTTTTGTTTTTGGTAACAGGAACGTAAGTTAACGATATATCACATATTTTAAAGTTCTATCCTGTTACCCTTTTTTGTCTATCCTGTTACCGATAGCAGTTTTGCATTTTGTTTATGCTAAATTGCGAAGATTAAGACGTTCTAACCTTTAAATGAGTTCAAACAACCAAAAATTTCATTATGTGTAAAATTATATGTAATTATAATACTTTTTGAAGACGTTTCAGTCAAATATTGTCTATTCTGCTACTGTAACCATGGTAACCATATCAATAGGATAGGCATAACAGAATAGACACATTTCTTTATTTATGAATTCTGTTGTGAAATAACTTCTCCCTTTGATGCAGCGATAATGTTTTTCTGCTGTGATTTTGGTTTCCAACACGTAGTTACTCTTTTTCAAGTATAATATCGTTGTAATTGATAAATATTTTTAGGTAACAGCATAGACATGGTTAAAAAGTACCCACTATTTTTTTTTCTCACTAAATGTCTTGAATTTTATTTTCCTTACACTTTTATGCAAGAAACGTGCTGTGTTAAATTGTTATGATGCTTTGTTCTTTTTGAATCATCACTGAATAGTTTTATATTCATAGGGAGAAACAATTTAACGGTTGATATAGTATCGGTAATAGGATAGACATGTATTTCATGTACGCCGATTGAATTTAGTTTGTAGAAAAAATGTTACATAGAATAATAAAGAAGCTGTGATTTTTCGTTAGAGTTATCATTAACATTCTAAAACAGATATCAAGGCAATCAGATCTAGAAAATAGGGAAAAAATCATTTGAAATGTGTTACCTTGACACTGTACGCACAAAAATTACGCAAAAATTGGACTCAAATATATTTGAATCTTATCAAAATAGATCTAAATCGTGTTTATTATCAATGTTCCAACTCATAAATCCTACAAACTTTCCTTAAAACACTTACAAAATCAAATGTTAGCATAGGTGTACTGAAAATTCGTTATTTAATGAAAATGACTGTATATCTTTGGATTTGCTAGACAAACTTCAGAAAGAACATATAAATCGTATATATTTATATATAATGGTCTTATATGTATATACTTAGATAGGTATAGAACAGTCAAATTACTCCCGGACCGATAGATATAGAACAGTCAAATTACTCCCGGACCGATAGGTATAGAACAGTCAAATTACTCCCGGACCGATAGGTATAGAACAGTCAAATTACTCACGGACCGATAGGGTAGAAGAGTAAATTATTCAGATATGAGTATTACTCTGATATGGATAGTACAGTTCATTACTTAGATAAATGTAAAACAGTACATTAATTAGACAGAGAAAGAACAAGACTATTACTCAGACAGGAGTGAGAAAGGTAAATTTCTCAGACAATTAAAAGAGTAAAATATTGAGGCAGGAGAAGAACAGTAATTTCTCAGATAGAAGTAAAACAGTTATTTATTCATACAGATGATAAAAGACCAGTTAATACTCAAATAGTAAAGCAATTAAATTACTCAGATAGGAGGAAACATTACGGAGATAGAAGAATGATAAATTGCTCAGATAGTTAAGCAGTTAATTTATTTCTCAGACAGAAAAATAAAATAAATGTTGGATAAATCATAAATTACTCAGATAGAAATAGAACAGTTAATTACTCAATAAGCGAAAGACACTCAACGTGACGTAATAACATGTGCATTGTAAGATAGGAACTGTAGAGAAAAATGCACGAATTTGAAAGTCGTCTATATGTTTTAGAACAAATTTAATGAGTTTTGGCAGATCCAGTCAAACGAGGAGCTTGATGAAATTGTCTTTTTACTTACATGAGACCAACATTAGATTTTTTAATATAAACGATAGTACATAAGTAAACATTTTACTCCGTTAAGTGTAGATCATTAAATTACTCAGATAGAGGAAAACCATTCATTACTCAAAACGATTTAGAATAGTAAGTAACTCAGAAAGGAGTAAAACAATTTATTACTCTGATAAGACGTCGTTGTCGTCTCGTCGTCTTAGTCGTCATCATCGTCATCGTCATCGTCATCGCCATCGCCATCATCATCACAAATTTACACATAAAATTATTGCCCCTATTGTATTAACAAGCTATAAATATAATAATCAATATTCCCGGTTTTTTTTATTTATATTTCGACCTACACATAGTTTGTCAATATATAGATCGACCCTTGATAAAAGCAAATACGTCTTCTACAGATAAACTCAACATTCCATACCTGATGTTTACAGAGATAATAGATTTTCATGCAGTACGACCGTTCCAAAGAACTTATCCAAAAAAGATGTCAAATAACAATTGTAGGCGGTCAAATCACGAATGTGTTAATGAGACAATTTTTTTTTTAAATTATATCCTTGCAGAAGTTTTCTTTTCATCGTGCAATTATCATTCTTCAAAGTTCTATTATGTAAACCTTTAGAAAACACAATAAAGTCTAGTCAGTTTAAATTGACAGAAAACTAAACCATTGACTATGTTTAGAACACGATATCAATAGCAGTTTAAAATCATATGAAAAAAGTTCTAAGTTTCTAATTCAACCATGCAAAGTCACTTTCGGCATAATTATAAAGTTTTTTTTTATAAATTCCTATTTTGATTATTTCAAGAACAAAAATCTTATATTTTACTGATTTCCTACCCAACCCTTTAGTTATAATATAAGATCATATTAATATCCGTTTGTAAAGTAGTCATACAGATTTATTATTATCAAAATTTATGAATATTTTGACGTTGAACTTATAAACGAGTATATGTTCTCTCTGCATAACCATAAAA